CTAGAATTGTTGTAATGGTTTGTTAGCTTGACTTTATTAATTAGTTATTATCAACATTATTTTAATTAATTAAGTACTTATTAGTACGTAGTATTTGTAATTGTAATCTTAATATATGTTGGTGTAAATAAATATGGTTGTTCATTAAATATATTAATGATGTTACTTTTTATATATATAATTATTTTGTGTTATATATATCATTGTATTATTTTGTTTGTAATATTAATATTATTATTAATTAATAATATTAATTTTATTATTAATTAATAATAAATTTATATCGATTAATAATATTATATTAATATTATTAATTAATAATACTAAAATTATTGTGAAAGGTCACTAATAATATTATTATATTAATATTATTAATAATAAAATAAAATAAAAAACAAAATGTACAATTGGAAGCGGTTTGAACCGCTTCCAATTTAACTTCACAATGGCAAGCCCCCAAAACCGAAGCGATTCAAAACCTCTTCTAATTAGGGGGTTTGAACCGCTTCCAATTTAGTTTATTCTACTAGTGATCCTTTCTCTAATACTTTCTCTCTCTCTCTTGATTCTTTTCTTAGCCTAGCCTAAACACGTCTTAACAAATTCTTGATACTTTTCCCTAATTAAACACCATACCTCCATCACGAGCTTTGAATACTCCTAGTCAATCTCAAAGTTGCCTTCGACCTCGATGTGAAAGGTTGATAGTTCTGAGAGTTTGGTCGCAAATCTATATTTCAATTATTATTTGATTTATTTGATTTAATCTTTCTTGAAGTTTACTAACGTGTGTATTGTTTTGATAGAAAGAGATACGAGGCATCAAAGTAAGTAATTTGATTACTTAATTATTTCTTTGATATAGAAATTATGCTTAGAATCTTATGTTAATTCCTAGTGTCATGTTAGGATGCCTTTATGATTCCTAGTATCATGTTTAGGGTGTTAATTAATATTTATAATATCATGTTGGTTTCTAGTATCATGTTTAGGATAATTCTTTGAACTCTATTATTAGTGACTGCTAGGGTTTGTTATTAATCTGTTTAATATCATGCCTAAGATCTTGCTATTAATCATGTTTGGATGAGATTATAATTATGATGTGTTGATTATGATGATTGTTGTGTCAATTATACATTGCTTGATTATTCATGATTGATTGTTATTGCTTGATCACGCCCCTTTTTGCAGGTTTAAAGGGAATTTGTATTGAAATCACACCTAATAAGATAATTAATAATCTGATTTAGGTTAATATGTTTTTAATTCAAGCGATCACCAATAATAGATTTGATTGTGCATTAATAATCAACCAACGTAGATTAAATATGCTCAGGGTTAATTTGATGTATGTATGTTGATGGAAAAGCGCACATGAATATCATAAGAATTGAGTAGAGGCTAATTTAGGGCGAGTTCAATCTCTTTTAGGTTGGATTCGTACCATCATCCCCGAATATCCAGTCATGGTTCCAGACCACTATGAAGTTAGCGATCTCCGTGATCGTGAATGGGGTGTAACCTTCACACTCGTGATCGGTTTACAAGTTCCTAAACCATGTTGGCGACTCTTTTATCTCTAGCTTCCTTCCCTTTGGACGCCACCATGCCTAAAAGCATGATCACATTGGGGGCTCAAAGTTGAGTTTGAAAAAATTCCCTACAACTAGGCTAGAACTTAAGGTAAGTGTGAGATTGATGATTTAATTAAGCAAACTAAAGAAATATGGCAAGTTTTTATTTCATGTTTGATCATGAAATTAAAAGGTAAAAATGCTTGCTTGGAGAGTAATCAAGAGGCATTTAAGGCAAAATATTTCATGGTCATATACTCATATATATTTTCTTGATTTGAATAGGAAAATTTAGGAAAATAAGAAGAATTAATTAAAATATTTGTCAACAAAAATCTAAACAATAATCCTTTTTTTTTTTTTGAGGAAAAAACAATAATCTACTTAATTATATCTAATTGGTCGAATTTCTCAAGCAAATAGTGCCTAATTATTTTCGGACCATTTAGCTAATTAACTATATATTATTTAGCTTTAGAAAATCCGAAAATTACCTAATAAATTTTCAGTTTTTATTAAAATTTAAAATATATAGGAAAATCTTAATTATTTTAACCTAATTAACTTAGCAAAATCAGATTTTCTAATGCTTAGAAAAACCAAAAATATTGAATTAATTATCTTATGAATTACGGACCTTGTTTAATAAAATAGGAAACGTATTTTTGTTAATTAAAATATCCAAAAAATATATATGTAGTTTGGTTTTTATTAAAATATTAAATGCATAATTAATCATATCAATATCCAAAATAATAATTGATTTATAAAATGTTTTTGCCGCCAAAATTCAAATATCATTTTGATTCTTAAATTTAAATAACTAAATAAATTACCAAAATACCCTTTTTAGAAATTACTTAATAATTAGTTAAATTGAAAATACTTCTCAAAAATACGGGGTATTACAGTATATGTTTTTA